GCTGTAGAGGGCAGTGTCACTGGCCCTCATATGTGGGATCCGAACCGGGGCCCTCTGGCATCCCAAGCCAGTTCTTAACCAACGCGCCACTCGGCCAGGCCAAAAAAATTGTTTTTTCTTATAGGTAGCCAAACCAGAGAATGGTTAGATTATTAGGTATATTCTTTCCGGGTAAACACAATTTCAGGGGACATGTATCTAAATTTTTGCAAATTATGTCACATTCCCATTAGGCACTACCTAATGAAGTAGAAAGGTGATGAAATTGTGAAGTTAAAAAAGTGCAAGTTGCCCTGACGTTTCTGTAATATGATCACATTTAAATTAAACCCTAAAGCTCTATATTTGTATTTGAACATCTGTAATGTCTATAAATGCACAGAAAAATTCTTAAAGGAGACTCCAAATGGTTAAGAGGGATCATACTGGGGAGGAGAGAGGAGTGGGATTTAGTGAAGAGGGCTTACTTTTTATCCTTTATTCCTCTGTATTGCTTGCATTTTTTAGTAATGAAAACATGTGTATCTGTAGTTAAGAAAAAATATATCAGAACTAAAATAGTGATGTAAAGTTGCCTTATTATTTTTGTTGAATGGTATGTGAAATGTCTTGGATAACTGACCCGTGGACATTCGTAAGGTCAGAGGAGGTAAGCAACTGATTATATTGGGTTGTCGGAAAAGTCGTGACGTATTTTTTCTGTTTTTCATTGCAAAAATGTGTTGTGACTTTTCTGACAACCCAATATCATTCCTTATTACCGGCAACCTGAGATAGTTGAAAAAGGTCTGTGCTCAGGCAGCCGATATGGATTCTAACTCCATATCTATTGCTTGATATCACAGGATTTGGGCCGGTGGATTTATCGCTCAGGTCCTTAGTTCCTTATCTGTAACATTAGGATGGCAGGCTAAATCAGGTGGCAAGCAATGAGCATGTGGCCTCTATTCTCCAAACCCTCATTCTTGGTAGGCATTTTTAACCCATTATGGCTCTGTTTCTGCTGAGTCAAGAGCTGGCATCCAAGAAGAAAGGTATTTGTCATCATGGATTACCCAGAGAGGCACCATAGATGATTAGAAAGAGTCTCTGAGCTTCCTTGGAGCCACAGGCCTTGGGGACAGACGAACTTGGGTTGAACCCCTGCACTGCCACAAACTGCACAATGTAATCTTAGGCAAATGAATGAAAAATGGGGGCAATAATTACTACTCCTGAGCCATCCTGTCATCAGCATGAAGTCTATCTTAGCTAATATTTTCTCTAAGGCTATGACTTTAATCTGAGAAGAAATGTTGAGAAACTTTACCCTAACTTGCCTATGATTCTTGGTGTTGTTTGCTTGCTAGGAGCTGCCTCCCCTCAGCAACCCAGCATGCTTACATACGCCCAAATTTGCTTCTCCATGCTGATTAGTCCAGCAAAGATGGACTGTTGAGCAGGGCATCAGAATCTCTGGGCAATACACAAAGCTTGTGCACGGGCCTTACAGATAGGTACCTCCTCTGTGAGCTCAGCATCAGAGGTATGATTGTTGATATTCAAGGAGGAATCAAAGAAGAGCGGGTTCAGCCTGAAGAGCAGTTTAACTGCTCTGCTTTGATCTTCAGCCATGACGGGTGTGGTCTTTTGCCTGAATTGAGAGGTCGATAAAATGGCTGTTTCTCTGCTCTCTCCACCCCCTTCAGTAGCCCTGTGAGCATAACTAGGTGGGGTACATGATGTAATTTGATTTGTTAGAGTGTGAGTAGTTTATAACCATCATTTGGGAGTAAATTACTTAGCCGTATTCTTCTTTATGACGGGCTGAAGAAACTTACTTGATGGTATAATATAATTTATTCTTGTGAATAAGTGAGTGACCTTCACATCTCTGTCTGTCTCCTGTGACTGATGGGACTTCTCTCCCTCAGGGAAATGGCCCACCATTTTTACCACTGCCCACCATATTCCACATTCTGTTCCACTAATTGTGTACATAAATAAGCCTGCCTTCCAAGATGCTGATGAAAATTATATTAACATACTAAATATCGAAATAATGCTGCCGGGTGTGTAACAAGGCATCTTTCTTCTAAAGGTCTGCAAGCAACATTCAAACTATTTTTTCCTGTATTGACAGTCCTACTCGATATTGAATCAAAGAGTGCTTGTCCTATCTTACAGATGGGAAAACTAAGGCTCACAAGTAAAAAAGGCAAGCAGTGACCAGTGGTGCAGAGGCAGGTCAGAGAACATGTACCAGGAAAGGAAGCACCTAGAGAGATGTGTGTAATATTTGTCATACTGGATTGAAGTGTGTGTAGGCAGTTTGTGTCATGCATTGCTTAATGAACTTATAAGCACTGATATTTATGGAGTCCCAAACTTATTTCAGGCCTTGTTCTAAGTATGGACATAGATTAGATCGCTTAGTCCTGGTGACAGTTCTTTGAGGTGAGCATTACTATGAAGATTCTCATTTTACACAGAACAGGAAAAGTTAAATAATGGGCCCAGGGTCACACAGAACAGGCACTAAGTGGAGAATCAGGGTGTGCACTGCATTTTCTCGACTTCTCATGGAAGGGAGCCGAAGAGACTTCAGAATGATGCACTCAGTTTAGTATTAATATTAATTAATAATTACTTTAGTATTAGTATTTCTCAGGATATCATTGTTGTACCATTCTGTATTTCTAAATTCTCAATAAATATGGTAAATGGCAAATTGCTCGGCTTGCTATTTTTTGAGGGGGACTGTTCCATAATTAGTAAGTTTCCAGGTGATTCCTGCACACACTATGTTGAGAACCTATTATTTCTTTTCAAACTCGCGCTGTGCGCAGTCGGAGAGATGAGTGGAGCGGGATGGCGTGGAGTGGGGAGGCCAGCACCTGGCAGATGAGGCTCACCTGCTGCAGCCTCAGTTCCTCTGACGTTCTCTTCTATACTTCAAGATTTTCAATAGGATTTCATGCAAAGGGTCCTGCAGATTAAAAAAAAAATGACTTGAAAACCCAGCCTAATCCAACCTCCCCTCCCCCCATTTCAGATGCATAGGCTAAGGTTCAGAGACACTAGAATGGTTTTCTCAAGGTAATCCAGTTTAATGGGAGTGGTGGGAGAGAACCCTCAGCTTCCTGAACTTTGGGCTATTGCCCTGACACCATACTACAGGCACTAATTAGTGATAATTGCTAACTCTCAGAATAGCAGCTCTGAAAAATCAAGATAAGAATGTGCACCATGCATATTGACTAAATACCCCAGAAAAGCTCAATGCAGCCAGAAGATAAAAGGTCGCAGGTACTCACTGTGAACACGGCAAGCGAGGGAGCAGGAGCCGTTTGTTAGAGAAACCACATATGTTCTTCTGGAGCCTCAAGGGATTTGTACACTAAGGGAATTGTCTTGTGCTCTCTGGATTTTACAGAAAAAGCAGGATTTGGGGACAAAAAGGAAAAAAAAAAACCAAATCAGTATGAAAAGAATTTTGAGGATGTAAACCTGGATCAAACCCGGAGTCTCCACGTTTACAAATGGAAGTGTGAGAATGAAATAGAAAATGTGGGAACCATTTTAAACATGAGTCAGGGGATCTTCCCCAGAGGAAAGTCAGACCATCCGGAGAAAGAAGAATCTAACTGAATAGTCAGGGTGATGGACAGTCACCCCGTGGGAAGAAATCTCCTCACTAGTGTGAGCATCTCTTTGGTGGTAGCTCTAACTGCACAGAGCAGAGTCAGTGCCTTAGCCAGGACGCATCAGGAAGTGCATTCCTTTCCTCCCCGGAAGAAAACCTGTTCAGACTCATCCAATCAATCCACTGTGCCTTGTTTCTTCTCCTTCACAGGGAAATCAATAAGAGAGTATTGAGCGTGGATTTCTAAGGATTTCACAGTCTTTTACATTGCTGCACATGGAAGGATTGTGGGTCACTTGTTCTTTCAACTGGAGGTCATGGATTTAAAGAGGAAAGCAGACATGTTATGTGCATAGCTGGCTATCTAGATGTCAAGAAGTGGATAGGGTTTTCTGGATTATAGCTTAAATTTCCAAACTCACAGGCTCCTGAGAAAGTGTGAAATATTTCTCAGACTGATGTGCATAATTGAATGAAAAGGATTTAATGTGAAATTCTAAGGCAAGTAGAATGTTGCCCAGATGGAACTGCAGAGCATAATACAGAGGGAATCGAATGAATGAATGGACTTCATAAGTTTCAAATTGTCATATAGAGTCTTCCAACAGTGCAAGGGATACCCAGCAATTCTTAAAGAGGAAATACAGTGATATAATTAGAAATCATACTTTTGGAGTAGGAAATTGATGGGGTGGTGCTAGAGAGCAGACACACAGTGAGCTTAGATTTGTAACACAGAGAGGAAAAGACAAGGCCAGAGTGTTACTGAAACTTGCTTGAACAGTGACTGGAATGTAGCAAAGGAATTTTCTTGCGACATATAGATTCTATAAAGTCAGAGGTGGAATCATGACAGAAAGGAACTGGGTAAGGTTAAAAGGAATGATAAAAGAAGTCATGTGATTTTTAAGTCTATCGAAATTGTTTGATTTAGCCGATTTGAGAAAGGTGCTACTAACTAAGAGAGTTTTAAATTATGTTTGAAACCAAAGGACCTGGAAAGCATAGGCCATCACTTAGGCTTAAGTTAACACATGGTGAAAAGAAAGTAAAACTTCTTAAGTCGGATTTTACTTTTATCTTCTGAATTATGGAGAAGGGTCTTCAATGAGAAAAAGAAGAACAGAGGGATTGAAGCTCATGGAAAGGGAATGAATGGTAAAGGAATGTGGAATTGTTTAAAATGAATTTAAGCCAGGTCTAGATCACTGGTTCTCAACTCTGGCTGCATATTAAAACCACTAGAGAAGCTTTTAAAAATACTTGCAGAGATTCTGATTTAATTGGGATGAGGTGAGGACCCAGGTACAGACATTTTTTAAAAACCTCTCCAGGGGATTCTAATATACAGTCATCTTTGAGAACCATTGCCCTGGATAAATTAATTATACACCAGAATTCACAAAGAACTTAACAGGTGTTACAGGTGGAGAACAGACGAGGTGTCAGAGACTGAAGATATTATTTTTAAAAATGCAGAAAATGTGGACTCTGGAAGCTATAAAACAAGTCTGACAATCTTGCTTAATATACTCTGAAAGAAAATGTTTTCTGAGCTCTTATAAAAGAAAGTGATGATTATTTGGAATCAGCATGGACTTACTGAGGAAAGCCATAAGAAACTCAGAGAGAGAGAGAGAGAGAGAGAGAGAGAGAGAGAGAGAGAGAGAGAGAGATTTTATATGGGTAAATCAGTGGGAAGTCAATGCCTTGATTTTAGCAAGTCATTTGACAAAGCACCTTACAATATTAATATTTTGGGGCAGTGTTTTTCTTGGTGCAACCTACAAAGTCATGGGTGCCTATGGAGAGACACCTCAGAAGTCTCTGAAAAACAGCAAAGTGGGCAGGCCCTGGGCAATTCATCCCACGACCGACTTGAACCTGAGTGACTCTGCTTCTAATTTTATATCACTCTTTTGAAGTGGATTTTACTTGAATAAAGTTTTATTGCTAAAAACAATTTGGAAACTACTATTTTAGATGCCAAGATGCAAACATCAAAGTGATGTGTAATAAGGTAACGTTTATTAAACAAATAGGACCCTCTGTTATTCACAAACTAAAGAGGAATCTTCATAGTTTGCTGTCCTTTCATGAAAACTTGGATGAAGGGCCAGCCGAGTTGCTTGTTGGTTAAGAGTTGACTTGGAAATTCCAGCTCTGACTAGCAGGACTGCTGGTTTGGATCCCACATGGGCCAGTGATGCTGTGCCCTCTACAGCTAAGATAGTGAACAACAGCTCGACCTGGAGCTGGACTGCCATGAGTCTCCTGTGACAGTGTAGGCTGAAGTGGGGCTGTGGTGGGCTGCCATAAGCTACTGTGAGTGGCTGGCAGCCAGCATGAGCTGCTGTGAGCCGCTGTGAGCGGCCGTCCAATGGCTGGCAACCGATCTGCCTCAGCCGGGAAGAGCGCAATGATCACAATACCAACATGGGCCAGTGAAGCCATGTCCTCCACAACTAGACTGAAGAACCAAAGGACAACAACTTGTCTGTTCCCCTTTCCCGATTCCCCAGCTATATTCCCTCCCCCAATTCCCCAATAAAATCTTAAAAAAAACCAAAAAAACTTGGATGAAAATGAGCTTACGAAGTTATGCTTGTAAATGTGGCTAAGGACAGCAGGTAATCTAGCTATCAGAATCAAGAAGAAAATAACCTTGTCAGATGAAAATGATAGATCCAAGCCATGAGATTATAATTTTGCATTAGTCAGCTCAGGCTGCTATAACAAGATACCATAAGCTGGGTGGCTCTAATGACAGACATTTACTTTGTACAGTTCTGCAGGTTGGGTATGCCAAGAGAAAAGTGCTGACAGATGCAGTTCCTGGTGTGGGCTACCTTCCCAGCTTGCCACCAGCTGCCTCCCTGCTGCATTCTCACATGGTGGAGGGAGAGCTCTGCTGTCTCATCATCTTCCTATAAGGGCACCTATCCCATCATGAGAGCCTCACCCTCATGACGTCATCTAAGCCTCATCACCTCCCAAAGGCCTCCACCTCAAAATATCATCACATTGGGTGTTGTTAGGGTTTCCACATATGAATTGGTGGGGAGGATACAAACATTCAGTCCATCGCAAGGAACAAAGATAAACTTTCTGCTGGTAGATTATAGAAAAACTATGATTTGTATTAAGGCAGGACTTCATAGCTATTCATCTGTAAAAGTTTTGAGGCTTTATATGATCAGAGCCTAAAGTGATAAGAAGAGCAAGGTGATTATTAAAAAAAGTGAGCACAATACTATTGTAATCCAGTTTTCCAGGTCACAACGTGCAGAGGATGATAATGGTCACAATAGCAGTAATCGCTGGCAGTTTATCTTTGGCTCACCCAGCATGTAACTGTGAGAATCTAGATATTCCTCCACACTCCCGGACTTTCAAATTCCTTTTTAGTTCAGAGAGCCCCCAGGGGACCCCTTACATGAACTTATAAAACTCATCTGACAGTTACTATTTAGAGGTGACAATAATTCATATTTAACAAGGTTGTTGTCTGATTAAGGGGATTAGGTGTGGGAGGGCGTTTAGTAAACTATAGGGTTCCGTACAAAAAAAGAATTAAGTGTGGTATAGAACGAGCATTTCTTTGTGCAGATGTTGGACTGCCCTGCCCATATCCACACCACCCCGCAGCACTAAACCCCTCCTTCCCCCAGCTCCTGGCCCTGAGCTCTCATCCCTCTCTGGGAATTGCCCTTGGAGAACTTCCCCCAAGGTCACACCCCCTTCATGTGTTCTGCCAGAACACAGTGTCAGGTCTTTGTGGGAAGGTGGGGAGGCGGGTACAAACATTTGAATTCCTTGCCCACACTTAGGACTATTCTAAGGGCTCATCCTAGGTCTAGGTGGCCCTCCTGGGACTGGCTGAGTCCTCTGTTGTGACTGTGCTTTAGCCCACCTTCTTTCTCCCTCTGTCCCATCCTACTTCCTGCCTTTCACTGAAGGGTATTAATCCCACAAACATACCCTAATATGCTTTCGTCATACTAACCTTTGTCTCAGAATCTGCTTTCCGGGGAACCCAGTAACATTTGCCAATCAGACAAAGGAGGATGGAGCTTTGCAGATATAATTTCCCCCTTTCTTGATTGTTAAGTAATTAGGGCTCATAAATGCAAAAAAAAAAATGCAATGCTTCCTTTATTCATTTCTCCAATGAGTGTCCACTTCACATGTACTATTACATCCTCTGGGCAAATAGAACATTTGACCCTTAGGACACGTTTCTGATCAATTTGTGAAAAAAGGACCTAGTGAAACGCAAATGTTGTAAAAACCAGCTTCATAGTAAGTTGCAAGTTGCTGGAGGAAAGTGCTTTGACAGCTCAAGAGGAGTCAGCGATAGTGTGACCTGAAATGTTTTGTCAAGTTTTGGAGTCAGAGATCAGAGAATTTTGGAATTTGGCATGGTCTTAGAAATATTCAAATCTTAGACCTCCTTTAAAAGGTGAGGAAATTGAGTCCCAGGAAGATCAAGTGACTTTTCCCCAAATCACAAAGCTAAAGTAATAGCTGAACCTTGAAGGAGGGGGTAAAATTTTGATAACAGAGATGTCACCCCAAGTTTTGGTGGTCTTCTTAGTCTTCAGAATAAGTGTTAACCTTGGGGCTGTCCACACTCTGCAAAGCTCTGATCTTGTCACAAGGTGTGAGCTCTTGGGGACAGTTATTGGTGTATGCTCAGCACTTTCTATGTAGGCACTCTGGGATCTGTGCATGTCTGAACAAAGCACAGTACCCCAGGAAAGTGGCCTGTGGGCCC